CATATTTCTCTCCATTCTTCCTTCTGCCAACGGTGTCGCAGTTTCTCGTCTCTCCCGTTTGTGTGCTTAGTGCGTACGCATGGGTTAGAGTTTGCGTGGAGGACCGCACATTTTCCCGTCAAGTTAGTATTTTATAAATCGCAAACATTGCGTAGAAACTGGCGTACGCCATTTTTTGAGCGTATATCCCTTTATAAATGAGGCCCCAGAGCATCAATACTAATACATACCATTCTGCAGCGGGAGTGTTAACCTCCTTTTTCATATGGTGTTGGATATTATAAACAATAAAAATATGTATTTTTTTAAATAATGATTTACTGCAACAACAAAGTAAAGTAAAATGAATGAGGAGGATAAAATGTCATAGGCCAAACGTGTATATTTATAAAAAATATTAAATGATCTCGTAAGAAGAAAAATCATTATTTCAAATTACATTGCAGGCCGATTTTAGTTGGATTTATTCATTTAGATAAACCCTAGAGAACCCTGAACCATGCTATGAATATGATAATTTTGACATATTATATGGAGAGACAATATATTGGGCAGGATATCATAAAAGTATCAAAAAGTATATTAGTTTGCATGAATAGTTTGGAACAGATTCATTTTTAGTTGTTTTTTTATCAGATGCTTCGAAATTAAATGATAATTACGATAAAAGTAGTAGCCAGGATCACCATGTTGAAATATTTCCTTTTTGCTTTATGTATGTACAGCATGAACAGCTACTTGGGTCAAACAGGAGATCCACCAAGTATGCGTATTGATTTTAAATGTATTTTTTCTTGTTCATTGAAAGTAGTACCCAGATTGTTGCTTGAGAAGTTGCTGTAAGCGAAGCTGACGACTGAGTGTGACCTCAACCATGAAGCCCATTCAGGACTTTGACTGTGAAATGTCGGATTCAAATGTTTTCCCTTGCTCGTATCATCCTAGGAGCCCCCCCGGCCCACTCAGGCCCAGCCCGGCCCCTGTAACTTTGAGGTCAGACAGTTCCTGGACTGTGCTACCGGCCAGTATGACCTGAGTCTATGTGAGGGCTTCAGCGAGGCTCTCAAACAGTGCAAGTTCTCCCACGGTGAGTGTGCTGAAGGATGGATGGAGCCACATAAAACACTTCTCAAAACATCCCAAGGCATCTGGTTTTTTAATATGAAATTCTTCATGTGCGCTTCATGTGAAACACTTACTGCTTTGGTTCTCCTGGCACCTGATCATACAGTTTTACAGTAGTATGATTTCTCAGTAGAAGCTACAGAAACTCGTTGGACATAAAAATACGTAATTTGATTAAAAATCATGTGTATCTCTTTTTTTTCTGCAGGTGTGACATCGCTGGTGTGAAGGATGGTGATCAGCTGTCAAGTCGGACATATCTCAATAGTGAAACTTACTGTAGAAATGACCACATTCTAGCACATAGATGTGAACGTACCTCAGGCAGAGAGCATGTTGGTTTTGTTGATTGATGACCGTGTAATGTATACATACATTACTGTAATGTACAAAATGTTTTTGGTATGTACAGGCAAGAACCTTTAATAAATAGCTGCTATGACCTTGCACATAATGTCAGTGTATTTTCCTTATTCCTGTCATGTCGTGTTTTTAGCCTGTATATATACATACATGTATATATACTAGGGCTGTCAAGTTAACGCGTTAATAACACGTTAACGCAAAAAAAAATAACGCCACTAATTATTTTAACGCGATTAACGCATGTGTATTTTTTGTCCTTGGCCGCCGTAGTTTCAGAGCGCATCGAGTGAATACCATCGACAAGCTGATGCTGACAGCCTCGCTCCTGCCGCCCGCTTGTGGCAGACCACACTTCCACGCTCACCGGCAGGCCCGGACTGGCCATCGGGAGGACCGGGAGGGAGTGTGTATGTGTGGCGCGACTCGCGCGAGCGAGGCACACCTTACGTGTTGTTGTTGTTAGGATCTGGTGCTAGCTAGCTGCGCTAACGGATATAAGGAGCTGTTTCAATGACATTTCGCCGACAACTGCGCCGAGCACTTGACTTTATGCAGGTAGCCAGACAGTGGGACATTGTACGAAAAGTCAGCACACTCAGCACGGATAGTACGCGCAACATGATTGCAGCATCCAGGCAGCTCCCATTCGAGTATATTATGCCTTGAGCTGCACATAGCTCCAACGATTCATCAGTGTACACACACATACAATAATACTGTGTGTGTGTGTGTGTGTGTGTGTGAGAGAGGTTCCAGGTTGAATTGAGGCGAATATTTGTAATGTTCAGGTTGTTGTGTTTAATATTCATGAGAATATTTGTCATTGTTCAAATGATAATAAACAAACATATAAAGCATATTTGTCCACTCATATGTTGATAAGAGTATTAAAAACTTGAAAGATATCCCTCTCAGGTACATTTAGAAAAGATAAAAAATGTGCGATTAATTTGCGATTAATCGCGATTAACTATGGACAATCATGCGATTAATCGCGATTAAATATTTTAATCAACTGACAGCCCTAATATATACATATATACAGTGGCGTTTTTATATGTACAAAAGTGGTGGGGCACAAAAAACTTAGATGTCTATATATAAGCTTCTGCAGTGACGTGCAGTGAGGTTCATGGCTGCTGAGGCACTGGCACTGACTCTTCAGGTTTACAAATATTATATTTTGACCTAAACCAAAATATAATATTATTTTCAAAAGCTTTTTTTGTCTGATGCTTCGATTAATTTTAAACAGACAGTTCAACAAAAGGATACCCAAAAAATGTCATTTTATCATTTAAATATTGAATTGTTCTCTCTTAGTAAGATCCCATTTTCAATAAAATGGTGGTCTTACCTTGACTTGAAGATGAAGTCCATTTGCCTATCCTTCTGGACAAACATTTCAATTACTTTTTTGTAAAAGTCCTCCTTATGTTCTTGTAGTTTCAAAAGTCTATCATAAATCTAATCCATAGATTTATGATAAAAAAATTATATAAGTAGGGTAGACATGTGGATGTTATCCGGCTAATCAAAACGTGCATTTATCTAACAGGTACGTTTCCCACAGATCTTATTTCGAGCTATTTTCTAAAATCCTCTGGAGAAATCTCATTGCTTTTTTGTGCTTACTTCCTGGTTTTAGGACGCGCCACTGCAGCTCTCTCGTCTCCTCTTCACACAGCACACTTTTCGCGGCACACGTACTTACAGCCAATCAGCTCTGAATGATTTGAGATGACGTATGGTGGGGATGGTAGCTCCATGCCCCTCTGGTCATTATTTTTTTGCCACACACATTTCATTACAAAATACTCTGAGCATGCGCAGTGAAGTTTTTACAGTCACGTTCACTTCACAGCGAGAGGAAGGGGCATAATCAGGTTTTGTCCCACATGGCTCTAAACAGCTCAATAGGCACACACTGTGACTGTAGACACACTAATTAGAAGAACACAGACTAAAACAGCAATGTACAGACGAATCAGATGATTAAACATGATCTTAAAATATATTTTATATATTTTTTTATTTATTTTTTTGCATTTTTGTAATCATTATTTGTAATACTTTCTGCTGACACTAGGTGGGGCTGTGCCCCACCTGCCCCTAATGACCAGTCGCCACTGCATATATACAGGCTTGGGGAGCAACAGTTTACATGTAACGAGATTACATTACATGTTACTTGTTAGACGCTTTTATCCAAAGCGACTTACATACTCAATACTGTGGACAATCACCACAGGAGCAATTTGGGGTGAAGTGTCTTGCCCAGGGACACAACGACATGCTGACTGCAGTGGGGTTTGAACCTGTGATCCCCTGTTCCGAACACCAACGCACAACCCACTGCGCCACATGCCGCCTAATGATTACCTAATCAGGATACAAAAAAAAGTGACTGCTTCGATTACAATCAGATTACTAGCAGGATTACAATGTTACAATCCATAACTGATGTAATGGTTTCTGACAGAAATCTCCTAGATTATGAACAATTGTGTTATTGCACTAGACATAACTTCAACCCCACAACATTAGATATTATTAAACTACATAAAGCGCTTCCTCAAGAATGTGTGCTTGTGTCGAGACATGTTATGGCTCCCCAAACTATACAGCCACAACTGCCCTCATTATTCATTAAAGGGATATTAGTCCTGGACGAAACATGCAATAATCCCTTCATAAGGAAGTGTCTCACTGAAAAATGATTTCCTGGTAGACAAAACAGAAATGAGATCCTACATAAATTCGATAATCAATCCATTAATAAACTAAGAACTGTGTATCTAACATTCGCTTTGGGCTACCACCCAAAAAAAAAAAAAAACACTTCAACAATATGTATCCATTGCTTAGAGTGCGTATTGTGGATGAATGTGGGTATGTTGTTCCAATTCCAATAAAGTTTGAAAAAAAAAAATGAGTCCGCCTGACTGGACCTTGGCACATTGCCCTCAGTTGCGGTACATCCGGTTCTGCTTTCAAAATAAAGCCGTACGACATGTTTTCTTAGCATCAGGCCATGTTTTCATCGGTTTTAATCAGGTTTTAATCCACTGCATATTCTTTGTTATTCTGACGAGTTTACATTTTCTGCAAAGAAAATCTCAAAATTAAAATAATTTCAATTTGACATTGTTAGAGCATTGTTTTATTCAGTTATGAGTGTATAGGTGTATAGACACACACACACACACACACACACACACACACACACACACACACACACACACACACACACACACACACACACACACACACACACACACACACACACATATACTTTTTTGTGTGTTAGCAGTTTCTGTGAACCATAAATAGAAAATATTAAACCCATTTGAGCAAACACAAATCAAGATACAATATTAAGAAATATAAATGTCACCCTCCACTAGAGAGACAATAAGAACATCATACCAGCTGAAGAAATATTACTTTAGTTTGAACGTTTTGAACTCACTGAACATATTTTGAAATCTACAACCGGAAGCAGTAGACTCGGCTGCTCTCCTGTCGCTGCTCTCTGGTCTCCATACAGTTTCGGGCAGACTTGACTCCAGCAGACTTCAGAAAATCAGAATGCCTTTCGTCGACATTCAGAGTAACCTGCCGGCCAGCTCTTTCTCGGAGGACTTCCTGAAGAAGCTGTGCTCCTGCACCGCTGCTGCTCTGGGGAAGCCCGAGGAGGTGAGTGCCTTCCCGGCCAGGAGCAGCTGCAGGAGCCCCGCGGGGTGACGCTGGGCTGCGTGAGTCCTGCAGTGGTCATACAGTATGGGCACATGCGCCTCTCATGCTTTCAACAGGATTAACGTTCCTAGCAGTTTTACATGCATTTACCACTAACTCTAACCCACATATAGCTGTTTTAATTAGTGGAATAGAGGCTTTTCCAGCACATCAACACTTTCTCACCAGTTCCTCTTAATTGTAATGGCTGGAAGGGTCCATTCACATAAAGTCACAGTAGGCTACCTATAACAGTTATTGCATACTAGTTACATTACACATATGACCCTAGGTTTTGTCTGCAGTCATAAATACATTTGCCAGTATGCAGCGGTGGGAGAAGTACTCAGATCTTGTACTTAAGTACCAGAGTGAAGGAATACTCTGTTACAAGTAAAAGTCCTGCATTCAAAATGTTACTCAAGTAAAAGTACAAAAGTATTAGGATCAAAATATATACTTAAAGTACCAAAAGTAAAAGTAGTCATTGTGCAGATTGGTCCATTTCAGAATAATATATATGATATGTTTTATATCTCAAAGCTGGTAAAGGTGCAGCTAGTTTGAATGACTTTGTATACTGCAGGGTAGCTTGTGAATTTACTCCAGGTGGAACTAAAGTCTGATTTAAGACTTGATTATATTTCACATCATTCATCCAGATCTGTAAAGTAACTAAAGGCACCTCTAAAGGCACCTCTGCCAGTATGTAGGAAAGGGCAGTGACTGTTGTTATGCGACTAATCGCTTCAGCCGTAATGTAATGCACACATATACTGTACACATGTATATAAACTCACTTTATGTAACATATAACACACAGCCTCACATGCAGCAAATGTGTCAACATGAAATTACACATGTATGTGGATACAAGTCTCTTTAATTAAAGTTGTATGCAACTGAAATAAGATATTTGTCATAGAAACATCATTAGGTATTGTATCTATTATGAGAATATAATGGTTGCATGTGTATAAAAATTACTAACATAACATAACTGGTCTTTTCTTAAAAAATGCACTTCTTCTCATAGCCGCTGGGGCTGCAGCACCCCCTAGAATCTGGAGAATCACAGAAAGGCCGGTCGTCAAGGGCCGTTGACGGCCGGCATAATTTAAGTTGCGCTGACAGGCGACAGAGGTCCACCGTGTCCCCGCAGCGAGGCTAGCCCCCCCCCCCCTTGACAATTTACTGCACCCCCTAAGTAAAATGACTTCTCGCGGCTATGCTTCTTCTCATTAACACATCGTTCAATGCCTTACTCAAGGACACTTTAGCAGGCCCACTTTGTCTGTGTGGGTGTGGCCTTTAACTGAAGTTCAGTGTATCTGCACTCACTTCCCTCATGCTGATCCATGTTTACGTGCTCCACCCTAACTGATGCTGGTCCTGTGTTTCAGAGGATGCACCTGGTGGTGCAGCCCGGGCTGCCCATGCTGGTAGCCGGCTCCTGCTCTCCGTGTGTCATTCTGTCAGTGTCTGCTATCGGTGTGACCGACACCGCTGACAAGAACAAGGAGCACAGCGCCAAGATCTTCGAGTTCCTGACCAGAGAGCTCAGTCTGACTGCAGACAGGTGAGCTTTATGGATCCTAGTGATGGCGAGATGAAGCCTTATGAAGATTTGAAGCTTTCCAGCCAATTGATTCGTAAAAGGGTTCATCTCATGAGGCTTCATTTGAACCGATTTGAACACAAATCCCCCTGTTGGTCAAAGTGTGTAAAACAGGCAGACATCTCAACAGTGTGCTCTATCTCATACCGAGTTCCCAATGAGTAAACCCTTAGAATAACTCTAAACAACAAACATAAAATCATATTTTCATGTTAACAATATTGTTTTTATTCCAGTTGAATGATTGTGATTGAAAAGCCTAAAGAGGCTGGTAAACATTGCAAAGAGGGATTTGTATTCCTTAATAATATTCGTAAACTTAACCATGTTGTAGCCTGAGAAAGGCTAAACCATATCAAAGAATACATTTATTAACTACATTATCTCATTTAGCTGTAGCTTTTATAAACAAAAAAAAGACATATTGACCAGTCGTTGAACCAGGGACCCTGCGGTTGTGAGTCAACTGCTTTCCAGCTGAGCCACAGCCCACACACTGATTCTGACTGAAAACACTATATACCACTTATTCCTGTACTTATTCATTTATTGATGTTTTTATTCCTACTTTTATTTATGCTTTTATTTATTTATAGGCCTACTTATGACATGTTCCGACCTCTATATAAGTGAGGGTCTGAGCTCTCTTAATTCCATCGTGTAACCGCCGGGCCCGGGTACAGGAGGGGTAATATCGTTCTTATTATACATCCATGGGTATTATGAGCGTTGTGGTTCAACCGATCTGAATCACTTCCTGAAGCAGTCACGTGGTATCGACAGGCAGCGAGGCTTCGTTTGTCATCGGTGGCGTCACTGGCCCAAAACGATACAAGCCTCGATACAAGCTTCACAAAAAGCTTCGGGGATTACTCGACACACGCTCTGAAGCCTCGGCGCAATACGTAACATCACTAATGGATCCCTCCAGTGTGTTGATTCGGCCAGTAGCAGAGAGTGGTGTCCAAGACAATCATTAAAGTCCATCAATAAGCTTTACCGTGCATTCTCCTTTGCTGTAAAGATTTTCTTACAATAAGTGTGCTTTTTAACTGACAAACATATTTTATCATCTCCTGTCTGATGACTGACTTGAAATGGACTAATCTGCAGAATGAGTACTTTTGTACTTTTGGTCCTTTAAGTATATTGTTATGCTAATACTTTTGTACTTTTACTTAAGTAACATTTTGAATGCAGGACTTTTACTTGTAACAGAGTATTATTACACTCTGATACTTTACTTTTACTTAAGTACAAGATCTGAGTTATTTTCCCACCTCTAGATTTTGCAATATTGCAGATAATACATTTTTGGGCAAACACTTTTATGATACCGACATCATCGCTGGTTCAGCAGGATAATCTCAATGTCAACACCAATTATATGATTCTTTAAGCGTTAATGTAATCGGCAGAAGTAAAAAGCTATCGTTGGGCTATAAGTATGCTAGTAAATCAATCAGCACAAGGGAAGTTCCATCGTCCTGGAAGGTGGCCACGGTGACACCGATTTTTAAATCTGGGGATAAGGCAATGATGTCCAATTACAGACCAATCAGCATCCTCCCCTGTGTCTCTAAGATAGCTGAGAAATGGGTGTCAAAACTAATCACCAAACATTTAGATAAAGGTTTCGCTCCACTTCACCCAATGCAGTTTGGTTTTAGTGCTCACCACTCCACTGAGACAGCTAACTGTGTCTTTGTGGAAAAGGTTAAATGTATGTTGGACACGAGCCCATATGTAGGTGCTGTCTTCCTTGATCTCAGGAAGGCATTTGACACTGTTGACCACCAAGTGCTCCTTACAAAGCTGACTTATTTCAATTTTTCGGCAGATTCAATACAGTGGGTTAAGTCTTACTTATCAAACAGAAAACAGTGTGTTTTGGTCAACGGTACCAAATCCCCCTACCTTGTCAACCCTGTTGGGGTTCCACAAGGTTCCATTCTTGGACCATTACTGTTTTCACTGTACATTAATGACTTGCCTAATGTATGTCCTGATTTGAATGTACAAATGTATGCCGATGATGCGGTCATCTTTGTACATGGAAAAACACTGAAATTATCACATCTTGTCTCTCAAATGCATTGGACAAAGTTCAACACTGGCTGAACAACATTTGCTTACAGTTAAATGCAAAAAAAACAGTATGCATGATGTTCAGTAAACGACCAGTCAAAATCGAAGGATCCAATGTGTTTTTAAACGGAGCAGAATTAGAACTAGTCCCCCACTTCAAGTATCTTGGAGTCATAATGGACTCGAACTTGACTTTTAAGAAACATATTAAGAAAGTATCCAATACTATTAAATTCAACTTGCAAAACTTTAAACAAATCAGACCTTTCTTAACTGTCAATGCTGCAAAGTCATACCTCCACTGTGTGATTCTATCCCACATTGAATACTGTTTTACCAACTGGTCGTTTGCTTGTGCCACAAACCTGAAACAAATAGAACAGCTGTACAAGAGAGCTATCAAGGTGTTTGACAGAAAGACAAATTCATACCACCACTGTGCCATCCTTGAAAAACACAATTTATTGAGTTTTGACAATTTTAAGTCTTTTAAAAGTATGTGTTTTATTTATAAATGTTTACATGGACTGCCCCCCCCCCCCCTCCCCTAGGGGAATTCATCCACAAAAAACACACTGGACGCTGCACTAGGTCAGAAACCAGAGGAGACTGTGAAGTCCACCACAGACGGACCACTTTTGGACAAAATGTCCTCTCCGTTAAAGGCAGCTCATTCTGGAATAGCCTCCCAACTGAGATACGGGATTGTCCCACTCTCAATAGCTTCAAAGGTCAACTCAGGGAATGGTTAAGAGACAAACAGACGTGCAATCACCGCTAAATGCACTTTAACACAGGGGTATCTTTTCTTGCACTTTATATGTCGTTGCTGCTATATTGTACTGCCATGTGGTAAATACTTGTGTATGCTGCTCTTGCTCTTTTTCACTTTTTGCATATCATGTATTTTGTTTTTACCATGTTTGTAAAATGTAATTTTCTTAAATGTTTAATGTGAGGGACTGCGGATGGAAACTAGCTCAAAGCTAAATCTGGCACTGTTACGCTTGACACATTTGAATGTTTTAAGTGTTCATTACTGTGCATTGTCCCTGCCAAATAAACGATTAAATAAATAAATAAAATAAGCAAACTACACCCTGGTCACAGGGCTGTGCAACACCAACGCTAAGCTAAAAACGTCTAATAAAGTGTTTTAGTCTCAACTAATCACTTGTCAGCAGCTGCTGTTTTGATGACACATAGAAACTTGGGACATTCAGCAGACATATAATTTAGTACCATAGAACAAAACGTTAATATCTCTTCAGCTTTTGTTAACCGCAGATCTTATTTCAGGCATCTAACCTAAGACACGTTCAAAAGGACGTGGACTTTGAGACGAGGGAATAATCGGAATGAAAACATGTTAGATCATTTTCAGATTTTAGGACACATCACTTTGTTGGGCAGTTTAAACTCCAGCGCAGAAGCTAATTATTACACTAGCTTCTTCTGGTTTGGAAACTCTACTCAGCACTGCCAGTATGCTTTCCAGTTGCTCTACACTGGATATTTTTATGTCAAGTGATTCATGTTTCAAATGGATTTAAATCTGCCTGGTAGAATATGTGCCTTGTCCTGGTCTTTGCTGCTGTTATTATTCATTGTTGATAATCTGATTGTACTATTTTTTGTCAGTAGAAATCACTCCTGCAGATTGGACTGTCTTGTGCATGTGCAAATGTGCATCTAGGACACTACAGATTCACTTTTACCCCTTTCCCACCAAACCGGTTCCAGGGCCAGTTCGGAGCTGGTGCCCGATTTTAAACTAGTTCTTCCTGTTTCTTGCCCGGTTCGTATTGGGAATATTTGAGCAATAAGTAGTCAAGATAAAGATAAAATTACACATCTAATACCAGGGGAAATGATCACCTTATGATGCCAAACAGAGTCAATTCAGACTGAAACACATTCCCTGATAGTGATGGGGGATATGCATCAGTTGCTTTGTTACATTCAGACAGTGAGTTACTGCTTTCCAGCAGCCGTTCCCGTCAGTAAACGGCAGAATAAACGACGCTGGATGAGCAGCAGATCACTGTAGGTCGGTAAATGACGCTGAACCACATTGGTAAACAAGGAATTTAAAGGGGACCTATCATGCAAAATGCACTTTTTGATGTCTTTTACACATAAATATGTGTCCCCGGTGTGTCAGGGAACTCACGCAGCGTCAGAAAATAAAACCCTCTCTCTTTTCCTCAGTACCCAAATCTCTAAAAACGGGGGTACAACGGAGCTGATCCAGATTTGCGTCCGATATGACGTCATATCGGCAATGCAGACCCACAGCACTATCAGAAACGTTGCTTTCAGAAACAATGCCCGACTGTTTTGGACGTAATATGGTCGGTGTTTACATTAGCATCGCTAACACTCAGAGCTAACCTGTACTGGAGAGCATGTGTGTGAAGAAGCAGGAAATAAAAAGGAACTCACCTTGTGGTATAACCGGCAAGAGAGAAAGCCTTTGAGCTCCATACTGTTTCAGAAATAATCCTTGATAATCCATGATATGGCGTTTCATCACGGCAGTATCTGCCAGTAGAATCTCCCGCATGAGCAGGCATTTTTTTTTTAAAGCTTTATACCCACAATCAGCACTTTTGAAACAGGAAGTGAAATAGAGGGATATGAGGCATGGCTAGAATGGGTGATCTGTTTGGTATTTCGAGCAAAACACTTCATAGACATGTTTTTTATATATTTGTATATATCTGAGACCTATGCTATTGCCTAAAAATAGCATGGCAGGTGACCTTTAAAAAACTAATAAGCAACAACGTTGGAGAAGTCGTTCTTTAATCTGAGTATCGACCCGACACAATCTGCCATTGTTGTTGTGAGTGTCGTTGCTGAGAAAATCAGCAACGTAAACGGTGATGTCACGACCTGGCACCAGTCAGGCACCAGGCAGTGGAAACACAAATGGTTCCTAAACTGGGAACTAGTTCCGAACTAAAACAGCTAGAACTGGAACCAGTTTGTTGGGAAAGGGGGTATCAGTTCTCCAAAGTAAACTCTGCTATCAGATTCTCACGGATAATAATTTAACCGATTTTTTTTTTAAGACTGAGAGCAGCACTACTTAAACCTTATTGTTTTTATATTTGAATGAATGTACTGCATTATGATTGAGCTCATTTCCAATTCACAGGATTACCATTCAGTTCCACGCGCTGCAGCCTCACCAGGTGGGGAAGAAGGGGACCGTCATGAGCTTCTTGTAAAAGACGTTGCTGTGGTGGAGACGTTACACAATGTGATTCATGAAAGAAGTAAAGACAGCATAAATCAGTACGAAACAAACACCAAGTAAAAGATCTAGACATTAACACAAAGTAAAATGCTATAAACTGTTTTTCAGTTTGATGGTTGCCAACACTAAGATCTTCCTAACCTGTTATCCAGTCAATTTAGTTTAGGATTAACCTTTTTTTTTACTCTGTTGATGGGATTGACAATTTCACGAGTAATGCATTACCTATAAAAAGTTTGTATCCCTCTATTACCCAGAGCAGGTTAGTTTGAATAGTGGCATTTTATTTGAAACACAATAAACAAACATTCTTAATCTTTGAATTCCTGAGTATTATTTTGTATATGTTTTTATTTAGTTGAACTAATGACATTATCTTGGGAGGGTATCTTTAGAGATGCATTAGTGTCTTACCCTTGGGTCCTGACCTCTAATAGGTGTATTCCTGTTTTATGTGTTCATTTATGTCTGCAGACTTTCTGTAATCTTTCACAGAGCCATACAATTATTAATCAGTACAATTAAATCCTATTTTTGATCATATTTTATGTGTGAAAAACATGTATAATACAATGTTACTCAACCCTTTAACTTATCTTTTAAGGACAAACAGCCTCTAGATCATTTTGAGTTATGTAAGTTGTCACCTTCCACCCAGTGCTCCACAGTCTCCTGTTGGACGTTTTGTTAAACTTTTCACTTGTGGAGACCAGAGAGTACAGAGAGGTAGCAAGAGGATTCACTCTTAAATACTACTTTCACTGAATTCCTGTTTCACACCCCCCAGCTCTCTTTTCTCTGACATCTACACGTCTACACATGTGTTTGTGGTTTAACAACACATTGAAAGGTTTGTGTAACCCTGAAACTTCCTAGCTAACTCATTAGCTTCCAAACAGCCGTGGGCTAAGCAGGACTCTGACCTGTATGGTCTGTCTGCTTGTTCCGTCAAAACCAACTAAACGCTAAATTAATATGATCTTTGTCATCCAAACATTCTTAGAGGCAAAAATGAGCTCATAAACGTAACGTTTTTAAAGCTGTGGTCCCTACAAATGAGTATCATTAGTATGTTAAAGGATAATGCAAACTCTCAGCTTGTGTACGTCATTGTTTTCACGCTTTATACAAGGTTTATTAGAACGTAAAACAATCCTTTAGTTAAAGTACTAATACCACACTACAAACACATAAGGTTCCAAGAAAAGTTCTGCAATGAAAAAGTTATTTCACTAAAAATAATATCAGGAGTATAACCAGGAAAATGTATCTTAAGTATGTAAAATCATAGATGAGAAACTGGAACAATTACTATTTTTTGAATTAATTATGATTTAAAAATTGTTATAATTGACTGGCTAATAATTTATGTGATAGTAGGCATATACTTTGTTTGGTATTGTACTTATTATGATTCATGTCATTTTATAATTTTTTCTTCTCTTTCTGAAATATAGTGGAGTACAAGGTTAGGATAGTGCTAGCATCATTCTGTTCTCTGGTGACAACAAAGCACAGGCAGACCATTCCCTCTAAGCCAGCACGACGTTGATATTTTTGATCTTAATATATTTTGTATATGCCTATAACCCCAACAAATTGCTATTATTTTAGCACTTGCAGTTACAGTGTAGTGGGAAGCACTCAAGTACAATTTTGAGATAATTGTACTTCACTTGAATATTCCCATATTTTTGCTATACTTTATAATTCTACTCCACTACAATTCAGAGGTAAATGGTGTACTTTTACTCCACTACATTTATTTAACACCTTTAGTTACTTTTCCGATTTGGATTAATCATGTGAAATATAATCAAGTGTTAAATCAGACTTTAGTTCCACCTGGAGTAAATTCACAAGCTACCCTGCAGTATACAAAGTCATTCAAACTAGCTGCACCTTTACCAGCTTTGAGAACACTTTCATGATCAATCATTATAAAACATATCATATATATTATTGTGAAATGGACCAATCTGCACAATGACTACTTTTACTTTTGCTAAGTATATTCTGATGCTAATACTTTTGCTACTTTTACTTGAGCAACATTTTGAATGCAGGAATTTTACTGTAACAGTCTAGTATTCCTACACTCAGGTACTTCTCCCACCTCTGCAGGTTAATTGAACTAGATTCCCACAGTCTGTATTGTACTGAATGAAAAAAAGAATCCGGCAACATGAAGAAAGAGCCTGAAAGAGGAAGCAGTGTAGCGGGGGTGTGGGGGCTGGTCAGAGGCTGGTAGAGAGGAGGGCCCTCCGTCAGCCCGTCCGTCGCTGCAGTGACGTGAACCATCTTGGTCAAATAAAGGATCTTTGGTTCCACAGGCAGCGCACTGAGCAGGGAGAGTTTGTTCTGCAGCAGCCATGGCGGTGGAGCTTTACTTGGACCTTCTTTCTCAGCCCTGCCGCTCAGTTCTGATCTTCGCGAAGATGAACAACATCCCGCATGAAGTAAGGAACATCTCGCTGATGGACGGTGAGTGGAGCCCCCCCCTGCTGACAGTCCTCCAGCCTGTCTGCACTCGGGAGGGTCTGCAGTATGCACAGCTGCTGAGGGTGGAGTGAAGAAGGGTCCACAGTCCAGCTGAAACTGTACACTTATTGCATATAACTTTTTATAGAAGCTGCTCTTTTTCACAGGGTTTTATTCTCACAGCAGCACTGGTGGTGGCAGCATTTGGAAACCCTCTTTTAGTTTTGTTTGTAAGACAGAGATCTGTGATGTATTCATTGGTGGCGTTCCAGTTCACTTTTTCTCAAGAAAACCATCTTTTATTTTACAGGCATGAGTTTAACAGGCTGTAAGATATGTTTGTGTTAGAATTTGTTTAGAGCAGTATTGTTAAATAGTAACCAGATCAGAAGTTAAAGTAATACCACACTGTAAAATCATGTTACAAGAACATTTCAGCATCGAAAATGTTATCTGAGGAAAATTAATAATAAATAAATAAAGTATTAAAAATAAAACAATTAAATGCAGAACAATCCCCTGTGTTGAGAGACTGGAACACCTTTCTTAGAAGAACCTAAAGTATTTCACTTCAATCTGGGGAGGCTGCTTTCTGTCTTTACGCCCCCCAAACTGTGGAACAGGATCTTAGAACAGCAAACCACCTTGGAATATTTAAAAGTAAATAAAATACCTATATTTTAATTTGAGTGGTATCACTGTTCATGTCTACGGTTTTGTGATATAACCCTTTCTGTTGTGAATGATTGCGATTCATGTCATTTTACAAACTCTTCTCCCTTCTGAAATATAGTGGAATAGAAGTTTCAACTCGCATGAAAACAAAGAGCCTCAGATGAAGTTAAAAGTACCTGAAGTACAGTACTTCACATTCCACCACGGCTTTATAACCAAAACAATACATTTGTTTTGTATGTGTACCAAAATGATACTTATTTGTATCCCTCTCAATCCCCAGGGGGTCATTAGATGATTAAGAGGATGAGAAAGAAAACATTTGTGTGTGTGTGTGTGTGTGTGTGTGTGTGTGTGTGTGTGTGTGTGTGTGTGTGTGTGTGTGTGTGTGTGTGTGTGTGTGTGTGTGTGTGTGTGTGTGTGTGTGTGTGTGTGTGTGGTGTGTGTGTGTGTGTGTGTGTGTGTGTGTGTGTGTGTGTGTGTGTGTGTGTGTGTGTGTGTGTGTGTGTGTGTGTGTGTGTGTGTGTGTGTGTGTGTGTGTGTGTGTAGTGTGTGTGTGTGTGTGTGTGTGTGTGTGTGTGTGTGTGTGTGTGTGTGTGTGTGTGTGTGTTTCAGGTGAGCAGTATGGAGATCACTTTGGGAAGATAAGCCTGATAAGAAAAGTCCCTGCTCTGCGAGATGGAGACTTCTGCCTGACTGAAAGGTGCATGTTTGAATGTTCTCTAGAGCTCATTATCCCATTCATTCCACAGTACGACCCTGTGTGTGTTCCCCGTGTGTTCCCCGTGTGTAGTCACCAGCTGTGTGTTTCTGTGCAGCCCAGCCATCCTGCTGTATCTGGCGCAGAAGTTTCAGACCCCAGAGCACTGGTACCCAGCGGACCTCCAGCAGCGCGCTCGCATCGATGAGTATCTGTCCTGGCAGCACTGTGCCATCCGTCTGCATGGATCCAAGGTGTTCTGGCTCAAGGTAGGTTCACTGACACCCTGAGGTGGAAGAAGTACTCAGATCTTGTACTTCAGTAAAAGTAGAAGTACCAGAGTGTAGGAAATTACTCTGTTACAAGTAAAAGTCCTGCATTCAAAATGTTACTCAAGTAAAAGTAGAAAAGTATTAGCATCAAAATATAGTTCAATTACCAAAAGTAGTCATTGTGCAGATTGGTCCATTTCACAATGATATATATATGATATGTTATGATTTTCTTATTGATGCATTAAAGTGTTATCAAAGCTAAAGGTGGAACAAATTTGTATTATTTGATTTAAAGCTGAGTAGTTTGTGAATTTTGTCCAGGTGTACCTAAAGTCTTATTTAAGTGTTGATTATATTTCACATCATTAATCCAAATCTGCAAAGTAACTAAAGGTATAACATAAATGTAGAGGAGTAAAAGGAAAAAAACAACAATATTTACCTCTGAGTTGTAGTGGAGTAGAAATACAAACTAGCAGAAAATGGAATACTCACGTAAAGCACAAATTGTACTTAAGTACAGTTCTTGAGTAAATCTACTTTGTTCCTTTACACCTCCGCTGACCCCTCTTCTTGTTCCAAAGCTGGAGACTGAGGGTGAGGTCAGCTGGAAGCAAAGCTCTTGTCCAGAGTGAATCTGAGCTGCTGATTTAGGTTTCCTGCTGCTTTCCATTATTCTGAGTGTGCAGTTTGATATGTCCAGGTTTTTCTCACCCTTCACTTTTCGAGTCTTCTGGCCAATCAGAATCAAGATTGTTGCCGGAAGTCCCCACGGAGAATAACTTTGCGGTAGAACTATTCTTTATACATCCATGGGTACAACTTCAGATACAAATGAACTAGGGCTGTCAGTCGATTAAAATATTTAATCGCGATTAATCGCATGATTGTCCATAGTTAATCGCGATTAATCGCAAATTAATCGCACATTTTTTATCTGTTCTAAATGTACCTTAGAGGGATATCTTTCAAGTTTTTAATACTCTTATCAACATATGAGTGGACAACTATGCTTTATATGTTTGTTTATTATCATTTGAACAATGACAAATATTCTCATGAATATTAAACACAACAACCTGAACATTACAAATATTCGCCTCAATTCAACCTAGAACCTCTCTCATACAATAATACTGTGTTGTGTGTGTGTGTGTGTGTGTGTGTGTGTGTGTGTGTGTGTGTGTGTGTG